AAATCCCAACAAAAATCTATGTTTTCATGTGTCAGAAATATTAACTTTTTCTAAAATGTCGATAACCTAGATTTTTACGAGTTTATTCAAACAAGCTATTAAAAAATAGAGAGCCCCATGCATAATTTGAGAGTTTTGCCCTGTTGAAGCTCAAAAYGCGTATGGTTCTTCCGATAAAATCTTGTAGATTTTAAAGCGGTTTTTGAGCGCGCGCACATCGTTGGCTCAAATCAAACTTTCAAAAGTATGCAGCCACCTTGCTAGGTAGTTTAACTTTGACTTATTTCCGGTGTTGTATTTAAACTAGTTTAGTCCTAGTGAAAACACAGCCACGTTCATTTTATTTGCGTTGGCTTCATTCTGTTGTATAACTTGGAGTCTTGTTGTGGCTAGCCTGCGTCACATTCGGAATTTTCTTTGTAAATACGAAGAAAGGTCCTGATGTGACGCAGGCGATGTTGTGGCTAGCTATTGAATTACGTAATGTGTCCTCTACACGAAGTAAGAAGGTACACTAAGTTAGCCTGCGTAGCGACCCTCTGGTAGGGAATTTTGGGCTAGAGGAGAAGGAAGAGGGGACTGGGGAGGGAAAAAGGGAATGAGAGGGGGACTGAGGACTCCCCTCTTCTCCAGTCTTCCTCCCCTTTCCTTTTTCCCTCCCCAGTCTCCTCTCCCTCTCAAAATTCCCGCAGGCTAACACTTAGTCTCCCTCGCAGCCGTTTTTAGTGTCGTCACGCAACGCTCCCTCCCCACTAGTGGGGGGAGGGAGCGTTGCGTGACGACACTAAAAACGGCTGCGAGGGAGACTAGCAAACACTAAGTTAAAGATAGTATTAACTTCCAGTCAGTTCGTTTTGCTGTACAGGACCCAGTTGTTCAAAGCCCGATTAGTGCTAATCCTGGGTTAACTCTTAATAAGACCTATAGAGTTAATCCTGGATTAGCGCTAACCCAGCTTTAAACAACCGGGCCAAGCTGTGCAGTGACGTATAAAACAGGTCAAAGAATCACCTTTTTTATTCGAATGCTTTATTCTTTTGCTTATAACTGAAGTCTCAAGTCCAATTTCTGTTCTGCTTTAGAATGTTCACTGAAGAAAACAAGTAAAGTAGTTAAATCAGGAAAAGAGAAATCGGAAGTCATTTGCAACATCTTATCCAATGTATCCATGTTGACAACTTCAATAGTCCATTGAATAAACATGGACAAAGAAGAAAGGTAAGATATTGTATGGTTTAGCTTAACTATATCTAATTTGTGAAAAACATTTTAAAATTATATTGGTCAATAATTATAGTTGCTTGCTAAGAAATGTGAGTGCTTTTCCTCTTGTGGTTAACTTAAATTACTGTGTATATAATGATCATATATGAGATAAAAATACTGTAGATGTAATACTACCAGACTGTAATCAATACTAATTAAGTGGGTGTATCTTAAACAGGAACTACTGTTGCCTGGCCTTACTTCTGTTAAGAGTAGGGAATCCATGTCTGCGTCTTTACTTCAAAAATCAGTGGAATGCTGCAGTAAAATACAAACCTTGGAGTGACTGTGCTCAGAATGGAGCTGACTTGCTGCGGATGTTTAAGCCTCTTTCATATGAAAAGGATGCAGTGAAATCTGGTGATACATCACGATGGGACATGTCTCTTTTAGTCAAAGCTCTACTTCATTCACGGCCACCATTTGTTGTAGCAGCTAATCTGGTAGCAGCCCTTAAAACGTTAAAAGAAATGCGAGACAAGTTGTGTCACTCTCCAGTTTCAAGGGTTGAAGCTACTGATTTCCAAACATCATGGAGGGATGGATGTAATGCACTGAGCTTGTTCGGCGCTACTGCTGGGGACTTTGATAAGGTG